ATTACTAATGAGATCTTGGAAGTTAAAGGGTTAAGAACATCAGCTACACATTCACCTGGGCCTTGTGTGTCACTTTTTTGTGTTCACACATTTTGACGTCATCTATGATCTATTACCAAACAGACTCACAGCAACATCAAATCCATTTGCTCTATGGTCAATAGGGACTGAATTACTTTGCAAACCATAGCAGCATTGAATTTATAGCAATCACAGGCCTAAGTAGAATCATATTACTTACCAAAAACTCTGCCAGGTGTACCAGACACAACATGCTGTCCATAATCAAGCTTTCTGATGTCCTCTCCTACATTTGTTCCTCCAATACATGCATGACATTGAATACTCATGTAGTCACCCAGAGCAAGAATGACCTGATGAAAGCCACAATAAGTATCATGAAATCTTACAGGGGAGTTTATAGCAGTTGACAGCCCCTTGAACTTTACTAGCTAGTATAGGTAATAACAAGATTTTGAGAGCAATTTGGTGTTAATAAGTGTAAGAAAATTTTTCAAAGCCAACTGAATTGCATGAGCCCATAAGGTGAGTGCACTTTGTAGTCTTCAAAAAATTTAAAAGTGCTTATTACAACAAATTGCCAGAGAAATCATGTTATTGCTTGTTAATAATGTAATTTAAAAAGAAATCTCCCAAGAGGCAGGACAAACAAAATTTTGAGTGTGTATGCACTATTTCTAATTTGCACTTGTGTTACAACTTTGCACTTGTATTACATGAGAAATGCACTCATTTTCAGCCAATCAGAGGGTCCTTACTTGCTTCAGTAATGTAATTATCATGAAGATGCAAGTGGATCAGATCCAAAACTTGGCAAGTTCCAATGTTTATTTTTAAGCTATACAGACTTACAGAACTTCACAACATAAAAAAAACTCTGCATTTACAACTATATTTCCAGACCATATTTTGAGTCCTCAGCAAACTTTGAAAGTCATTCAAATGACCAAGAGGGTATCAGGTTAAATCACATAAAAATAATACTTAACACAAATTAATCTACCTTCTGAATTTGTTGTGCAAGCTCTCGGGTTGGAGACAAAATCAGAGCCTGTGTTTCTCTTGTCTGTAGAAAACAAAAGCAAATATTTAGTAAACTTACGTGTATAGAACAAGTATATTTACAAAGTACAGTATAATTATTTTTTACCACACAATGACCAACTAAATTTTTTTCAATTGTCTTTATTGAAATTGAAAATAGATTTCTGACTCCCTACAGATTATTCTGGAGACATAACAATTGATGGTAAAATAAAATTTTGACTTGACTATGCAATTTGAACATTCAATGTCTTGAGTTGAAGATTCAGATTTGATTTTATTTATTCTTGCTTCACATCAGGATCACCACATCACAGTGAATGCAACTTTTTGCCTATTATTTGTTGGAAGTAAGATGAAAAAGATGTGTTTATGGGGATGAAACATATTCTCAAACACTGTTTTGGGTACTATTGACTGACCTCTCAACAGCATGTGTAGAAATCACAATTAGAGTCAAGCTAACAATTGTTTACCAGTCAATTATATATAACCTCTAACTGAATAGAACTGTCTTTCATTTGACTACAATGATAAATTCCACCAAGTCTACAGAGGAGACAATCACTATCACAGACAATGGTTTATTTCTGAACAGCTCTTATCCAGATCATAACACATCATCATTTACTCTTGCAGTTCTCCCTGCTTTAAGCAATTTGCTCTAGACTATTATGAGCTTTTCTTATCTGTTCTTGAACCTCACAAGTAATTTACAAACCTGAATATCTATTGACTGAAGTACAGAGATGGACAGAGTGGCTGTTTTTCCTGTTCCAGACTGAGCCCTGGAGATGAAAAGAGAAAGACGTCAGTCAGTAACAAGCTGCCTGATTTGACGTATAAATTCAGAAGTACACAAAAGAAATAATATAAATATTCTAAGCATTCATATAATTTAAGGGAATGCTTCTCTACTATGGACCATTCTATAGGATTACTAAATAATTTTTTTGCAGCATTTGATTCAGTGCTGAGTCTTCCGCTTTATCTTCAAGAAACTTGAAAACATCAGGAGTACATACATTAAGTAACCAAACAAGTGACTCAAGTAAGTGACTCAACCAAGTGGCATTGAAGGGATCACTACACCAACTTCAAAACAAAATTACTGTATCTTCCAGTTTAAATAGAACACTACAGATAAAATATGCTAGCTTAACATTTCGATGGCTTGGACGAAATAAAACATTCTGTAAGTTTACCGATTCCAATTTTCAGAAACATGACAAGAAAACGTATAAAAGTTACGTTGATCAGGACACTCAATTCCTAATGTTAATACGTAAAAACTTACTGTGCAATGACGTCTCTTCCTTTGATAATCGGTTTAATAGCACGCTGTTGAATTGCCGATGGTTTCTCAAAGCCTAGAAATGGTCAAAAAAAGCTCAGAGACGAATGAAAAACCCTTGCAAACACATTTCGTGGTTCTGGCGTCATGCATTGATCGAACTTACCATAAGCGTAAATGCCTCGAACCAAGTCTTCGCGAAGTTTTAACTGGTCGAATGTGGGAACAACGTCAACCTCTTCTGAAGTTGAGAATTCGATCTTGGTTGGATCTTCCTCATCGTCGGCTACAACTTTTCTTTTGCGAGACATCTTACAATCTCCTAACTATCTCGTTTCCTTTAAGCGTGCATGAAGGACGAGCTGAGAGACCGCGCCTGGTTACAACCAACCAAGCGTTACTAAGCATGATGGGATACGAGCCGATAAGCAGGCCGATGTATATACCGATAAGGGGGCGGTCATTGATTAAGAGGGGGGAGGTCATTAATTTTTAAGCAGGAAAAACAGAAGAAAAAATGCGGGCAAATTACAGTGTACGTGATTGATAGAGGGCTTGGGTGGGGTCAGCAATCAGTGTGTTTCATATGAGGCAGGGTTAGAAATATTTACCAAGTCTCTCCCTATTTTAGCATCACTTTCTGATCCAGGAATATGATATTAATTTTTGTTGTATAAGAGCATATGTCTGAACTTAGCTTTTTACAGGTATATTTTGATTTTTTTTTACTTGGCGATGTTAAGCTGACATTGAGAGGTCTCTTCTTTAAATAAATTTTGTTGACAAGGGCATTCCAATTTTTTGCTTTTATACCAGTGTTTTAATGTTAAATCCAAAATAACTGAAAATAACCTTTTAATCATAACATATAATTTACAACTTTGTTAAAAAGTTTTCTAATAAGTATTATCACAAGCAGTCAGAAGGATTCAGTCCTTTAGTCCTTTACATCCAAACATCAATATACATATTCTCCATACTGTTCCCATACATTTCCCAAGGTGCTGAC